CATATTTTTTAATGGGTTTACAGCTAGTCTCAGTGTCCAGCTGTCATTATTTTTGCAGCTTTTATACTTTTTACACATGAAATACGCAAAAGTGAAAGATGTGCTCGCCTCGGCTGTCAGCTCAGAAATAGACAATATGCTGATGCATGTATGTAAACCAGTTTCTGGGGAGATAAATAACAATGATTTCCTGGTTGCAGTGGCACGTGCCAGAGGAGCGAACAACCAGGTGAGAGAGCAAATCCAAAAGTTGATGTGGTGGAATTGGTGGAAATAGCCAAACTTAAGGATTTGAATGATTTTGACAAGGGAGAAACTGTGATGGCCTGACAGCTGTGTCAGAAATAGCAGGCTTATTTGAGGCAACCAGCGAGCCAGTGACAAGCTCTGGAGCAGCAGCCTGATAGGTGGTGCTCCAACAACATGCACTTTGCTTCCGATCATCACAGACAACCAGCCGCAAGGCACAAGAAAAAGCACACGTCTAAAACCAGTTAAACTCTTGAAATCACTGCCTAACCCCTTCAGTCAGAACAACCATAATTAGTCAAAGGTGCCTTAAAAAATTAATGTATCATGTCTAAGTTTGGAATAAAGGAAGTTTAAGGTTTTTTGGGCCCCTTGATTTCCTCAGCTCACTCCTTTCAAAGGTAAAGTTATGAATTCTGAGCTGAAGGGATGATTTTTTTTCCCAGCCTCACCAGCTGTGAGTGATCTCCTGCCATATTTTCTATGTGTGTTAATCTGTGTGGGAGAAGGTGGCAGACGCTGATCAGTTTAGCTTCTGCACATCGCAGCAGCGATGTCTAATGAGAAGATTTCTCATCAGCACCGCCTCGGCACGCCGCAGGGCAGATCTCCGGGCGTTACCCTGGCATGACCTCTACGCTGAAAATGAAATTTTTTCTCAGGAGCATTTCAACTTATCTTTATTTTCACTTTTGAAATAAGATCAGTCGCGCTAACTTTCACATGCATGCAGCCCGTGAGAATAGTTTTTAATGCCTATTTCCTGCATTAGCCACACAGATCTACGTCACACTGTAAATTAGCATTAATGGTTAACGGTCTCGCCCGTCTTGACTTGCGACAGGGAAGGCTGTTGTTGATTTAGCGTCCAGGAAACAACAGTGAGCATCTCGGCTAGCAGAAGCTAACTGTTAGCATTAGCAGCTTCACAATATGGCCACATTCATTCAGGCTTGTGTAATTTGTGGAGATAAAAACATCAATATTGCAGAGCGAATGGAGGCGGAAGAGTCGCATTGCTGTGAGCCAATCAGAGGCAAGATGTTCAAATATCATGAATATTAATGAGTAAGAAGACTCTAAATCCCGCCATTTTCTGCCTCCCACTCTTCCAACTTCTACTTCCTGAAATAGAAACGTGGGAACCTTCTTCCACAAAAACGACTCACAAATCATTCATTCGTGCTATAGACCACTAAAAATGTATTGAAGTGAGAGTTTGCTTCTTTTTCTCATTCTGCTTTAAACCTTGTTTATAAGCAGTTGCCTTAGTCCTTGTGCATCTTCCCAGCATGCAACATGTCTTTGTAAGACATAGAAGTCATTGTTATCACAGCGAAAGAGGCCTGAGAGGGTTTTGGTGGTTGAGGTGGAGGACAGCGTTTCTCACTCAGGAGAAACATGTCAACTCAGGAAATGACAACAACATTTAGAAGTTCTCAGAGGTCATGTTTTTCTTTTTGACTTGATCTCTACAGGCCCTTTGAGGTTGGTTATCCACGTCCTTGACTTAAAGGTGACATGATTGTGTACCGACTGCTCTTGAAGCACCTGTGTGGACATTTTTTTTAATAATAAAACAATTGGAAAATGGCATGTGTGGCTTTGCTAACGTGGTAGCCTGTTTAGATCAGTGATGCCCAATCCTGGTCACTGAGGGCCACCGTCAGCGTTTTAGAGATTTCTCTGCTTCAACACACCTGATTTTAATCAGTGGGTGATTAACAGGCATCTGCAGAACTTGATGATCTGCTAAACAGATGTGCTGGAGCAGTGAAACAACTAAAACTTGCAGGATAGGGCCAGTGACGACCAGGACTAGACATTGCTGGTTTAGATGGTTTAACATACATCATGCATTGGAGTGGTTTAGCTCTATAAGTGTCTTTTCTCCATCTCTTTGGAACAAATATATTCCTGATAATCCCATAAAAAGCTTCCATCAGGCAACAGAACCAAAACCAGAACAAACCACCTCAGAACTATCATTACTCTAACTAAACCAGTGCCAAAACTGTGCAATTTTCATTAGTAGCCTTTTTGTATTTATTTATTTATTTATTTATTTATTTATTTATTTTTATTTATTTTGATTATACTTGTCTTTTAAATATTCCCTTTATCATTTATGCCTCACACTGAGTTGACCTCATCTTGTATTTTTGTAGTTTTTTGTAAAAATAAAATAACAATGACATTAAAGATTTGATCTGTTGGGGGAATTGTGCTTGTTTAGCACGACATTTATTAATTCTATTAGATTCTAATTAGGTGACTAAGGTGCTAAAAGCCTTAGCCTGTTCCCAAATCTGTAAAAGCTCAGCACGATGTCAATGTTACAGAGAATATACGCTTGCAAAAACTTGAATGTGTGCAGTCTAGGTCACCACTATAAAGGTTGTTGGCATCACTCAACCATGGAAAATGCAATCCTTCTGTTGCATGGCTTTGACTTTGTGGTCTTGAAGGACAGAGGTTGTAACAGCTTGCTCTCAAACACCTCCCCTCCGACCGGCCAGTGTTTTGCTGTATTAATTTCCTGTTGCCTTATCTCTAACTGGTAATTGCCTAACCTCAATCTAACCTCAAACCTTAATCTTCGGTCATCCCCAACACCAAAACAAACATCTTCCTGCAATGAAACCGTGCAATTATGCCCCCTGCAAGAGTAACACAAGCACATAGATTTTCTCCAAGGCCAGTTTATCTGCCTCTAAAAGGAAAAAAAGAGATTCTTAAGAGCTCTTCTGTTGGTTGTTGTCCAGGTCGAGACAGTTTAACACCGTCACACACTGACTGAATAAAGTGGATACATCTGAAAAGAAAGCAGCAATGAAGCAGAAGCTGAAACCTTTTTTGGTATCTGAGTTTCGTCTCAAGTGTTTTTTCTCCATAGAAGGGCTGAACTGCAGAGCTGACCGGTAAAAAGCAGCATTCTTTGAAATGTAGTTGTGTATTTTAGAGTGTCATTTACTGGTGAGTGATGTATTTCATACCTCTGGAGGCTGTTGGAGCCGTTGGAGAAAATAATAAATGGCCCTAATGCTGACACCAGCTGTTGTGTGACAACGTTATGTTATTGTAAACCAAAGCGGTCTTCTTTTGCCTGAATCTTTGGTAGAATATGTGGGTGTTTATGTTTCAGAAATGTGTATGTGCTAAACTTGAATTATAATAGGAATCTCAACAGTTGACTGAGCCCTTCAGTAATTGCATAAAAGGATTTTATAGTTTTTTTTTCTTTTTATCGGTGCTGTGCTGCGTAAAATCAGTCGGTGCGATGATCCAATTCTCCAGCCCATTCACCAATTTTATTAACCTTTGAAAAGATGCATTTCAAAAGAACTCTGCTTAATACTGCAGAGACCTGAATGGGCCAGTCCAGCTTCATGTTACATACATGTGCTACGTTAAAGGGGACCTATTATTATATTGGGCCATTCCCATCTGTACCGGGTCGGCCCGGGCCGGGTAGCCCCAGTCGGCCCCAGTCTGGCCCGGTTGATTCCACACATCCTTGTCTTCTACCCACCAATCAGAGGCTTGCTCTAATGGAAGGTGTGAATTTGCTGTCAGCAGTGGGTGTGTTGGCCCTGGTCGGCCTGAAGCAGACCCCCTCGAGAAGAGGGCTGAGAATGAGCCTTGGTTGGCCCGGAAAAATACCAGGCCACCCAGATATGTAAACAACCTACGCTACCCGGCCCGGACCGACCCGGTACAGATGGGAATGGCCCATAAGTTATAATAGTTCTATGGTCCATAAAAACATCTTTATGAATTATTTCTCACTAAATTCCATTCACATGAAGTGATTTTAGCAATTTTATTCTTGACCATTTCAGTACTTTTCAGAATGAACTGTTTCAGGGCTCTGTCACTTTATGTTTATGTTTATTTATTTGGCAGACGCTTTTATCCAAAGCGACTTACAACTTATAACCTATAGGGCATGTTGTGATCTGTGGGGGAAACTGGGGTACCCGGAGGAAACTCACGCATGCACGGGGAGAACACGCAGCCGAGTTTCGAACCTGCAACCTTCGTGCTGTGAGGCAACAGTGCTAGCAACTGCGCCACCATGCAGTCCAAAGAAAATATTAAGAAAACTTTAAGAAAACAGTCTGGCCACACCCACCTTTCCTTGCTCAGGCTGATATTAGCTAAAAGAAGAAGCTACAATATCAGGGAGGGCTCGGAGTAGAGGGCTCTCTTGCACGTGAGAGGTGGTTCTATGCTAAGTTGTCCATTTGTGATGTCACAAACTGGGTGTTTTAGAAACGGTCTGTTTTAGGCACTTTATTACTAAAACCAGATGGAAAGAAAATAGATGGACTGAGCTTTTTCACGTTTGGAGTGTTTATTGAGGTAGTGGAGACCCACATGGCAGCACTACAGGATGCTAAATATACGTTTTGCATAATATGTCTCCTTCAAAAGAAAACTTGGTCTTCTTAAAAAAAAACATTTCTCTCTGCTGGACTGCATCTGATTCTCAAACACACACAGACTGGAAATGATAGAAACTTTAGAGGTGATTTCTGTTTTTTTATTGGTTGCTTTCACTTTTAAAGACCAGATAAGGAAACAAATACCAGACAAACTGTTTCAGATGATCTTTTTTTTATTATGTCTAAGAGACAAGTATCAGATCCCAAGTGGATCAGAGGTAATCAGACTTTTTTAGTTTAGAACCTGAGGAAAATGTTGACTCCTGTTGCATCCTATTAACTGACACTTCCTCTGCTGATCAGACCATCAAGGCGACGTCTCCGCTGGGTGACCCACGTGTGACCTATAACCTAGAAGAGGGTCAGGTGCCTGAGACCAACATGCCGGTGCGATTCTACATCAAACCAAACCGGGCTGATGGGTCAGCGTCCATCCTGGTGGCCGAGAACCTCGACTATGAGACGACCCGTTTCTTCACTCTGAGGATTCGTGTGCAGAATGTTGCCGCCGTGCCTCTTGCCTCCTTCACCACCGTCTATGTAAATGTGACAGGTGAGACTCAGTGGAAGAGTGTGTGTTTACATTGAAATCTGCTCTGTCATCTCAAACCCCCAGTGAGCAGATTGCTGCTCATACTGAGCCAGGTTCTGTGGGAGGTTTCATCCTGTTGATAGAGAGTTTTCCTCCCCACTCTCGCTACATGCTTGCTCAGCATGAGGATTGCTGTAAAGTCTCCGACACAACAAGTCAGTGACTCGATGTAATTTTCTTTTAACTAACTGGGATAATGAACTGAACTCAATTAGAATGTTTACTTTGTGAAGTGCCTTGAGATGACACTTGTTGAGATTTAGCGCTATTTCAATAAATTGAATTTGCCTAAATAAACATTGAATTTTAAATGCCAGCATTTGTCACATGGGCCAGTAGAAATAATGTTTTTAAATTACATTTCAGAAGCTTTTTTTAAGAAAGCTATTCAATCCTCTAAATACAGTTTATTTATCATTTATTTTCAGATTTGTTTAAGAGAAGGGGATGTTGTTAAAGGTGTGGTTCACTGTGTGACAACTAATGGGACTTTAACTTTAACTTTAAAAACACATTTTTGATGTGTTTGCAACGGGAAAGGCTGTTGTTGTTCTGCTGAGCTGTGGTGGCCTCATGGAGGGGGCCATCGTCTAGCACACTGCTGCTAACCATTTAAACATTCTCCTTCTCCTGTTAATAACTTTTTGTTTCCTTGATGTTGGATGTGCTACTGCTAGTTTATCCGTTTAATTATAGATCCACTAGGATAAATACAATAAAGTTAATCTCTCACCAAATCGAATATTTACTAAGACATCACAATATAACTGTAGACACATTACTTGTCCGTGTGTGTGTGTGTGTGTGTGTGTGTGTGTGTGTGTGTGTGTGTGTGTGTGTGTGTGTGTGTGTGTGTGTGTGTGTGTGTGTGTGTGTGTGTGTGTGTGTGTGTGTGTGTGTGTGTGTGTGTGTGTGTGTGTGTGTGTGTGCCTGCTCTGTCTTCTCGATCCCCAGTGAGTCGTGGAGGATGGCTGCTTATACTGAGCCAGGATTCTCTGGAGATTTCTTCCTGTTAAAAGGGAGTTTTCCTCTCCACTGTCGCTTTATGCTTGCTTAGTATGAGGATTGCTGTATAGTCACTGACACTAGTCAGTGACTTGATGCAATTTGCTGGGTTCCTTATATAGGAAACATTATTTCTGAGTGGCTTAATGAACTGACCGAAGTTGGAATGTTTATTATGTGAAGTGCCTTGGGACGACTCTTGTCGTGATTTGGCGCTTTATAAATAAACTTGAATTGAATTGAATTGAATTGTTGGTTTGGCATCCAGGAAACAACAGAACACGCCTCGGCTTGTAGAAGCTAACCGTTAGCATTAACAACTCAACCACACAGCAGAACATTTCCAGGCTTGTGTTGTTTGTGGAGAGTGGTAGAGTCACATTGCTGTTATCCAATAAGATGCAAGATGTCCAAATATCAGAAAAGAATACTCTAAATCCTGCCATCTGAAGCTCAGCTCTGATGTGGCTCACTTCTAGTTCCTGAAACAGGAGCACCAGAGATTTTTGTCCCCAGAGTACGATTTACAAGGCGATCATTCCTACTAAAGACAAAATGTATTGATTAAAGGAGTCAACTACACCTTTAATTTAGCTAGAAATCCCATCAAGGTTATTTTATGCCAGATGTGAATGGAACTTCTGGATGGGGTAAAAACTAAAATATTTCAGATGGATGTCAATAAAACTGGACATAAAAACATTTTTAAATCCTGCTTTCATTCCAAGCTGATTGCAATAAGTGTGTGTACAATAATCATCAGAGAAAAGATCCTCAATCATAGTTAAAGAATTACTAAAATAATTTTTGTATTAATTTGTCTTTTACTGTTATTTGCAGTTAAATGCAGCATCTAGTTTAACGGCTGAAGGAGTTGTAGCTTCTTACAATTTTGGTTTTAATTTTGTCTTCACCATGCTGATGGATAACTTCATTTTCAGTCAGTTTCATCATTTATTTCAGCTGATGTCCTATTTTAAGACAAATCTCTCCTCGTGTCTTTGATTTAAACCATTAAGAACTAACAGCATATCCACTTGTATGTAAAAAGTCACCATTTAACGCTGAGGTGCTGGAGCCATCACAACAAAGCAGAAGCATAGCTCTAATGAGCGACGGCACCGGAAAACGACGAGCAAAGACACAAATGAGGTTTAGCTGGAGTCCCCGGTGGTCTCTGCCAGAAAGACAAAAAGACTAAAACATCAGGGACTGCTGGTGTGAGCTCCAAGCCGCCTCATTTTCACAGTGACTCGTTTCGCAATCAGCATCTGTTGGCGGGTGGAGGGAAGTAAAGAGGAGCAAACACTTCCTGACTTTGATTGGCTTTGAAAAAACCCGCACTGGATGCTCTAATTGGCTTAACAGAGCTTGAAAGCGAGCTGACAAGCGTCTTTGTGGACACTTCAGAGTGTTTGGAGGATAATTCCCTGCTAATAACTCAATTTTCATTTGCACGAGGAACCAAAGTCTGATTTCACTTTCTGATGGTCTTCAGGAAGCAGACTTTTGTTTCAGTCGTCTTTTCCGTTCTTTAATCTCTTTGCAAGTGTAAAAGTTCCTAAACCCTCAAACTCTTTTTCTTTTGCTTCCTGTTCACATTTTCTTTGTTTCTGACGTGTTTTAAAGCCACGTTATGCAACTTTTTCATAGTTTTAAATCATTTTCTTGAGTCAGCATGTTCAAAAAGCACCCTTTACAGGGTTAAGGAAATGTCAGTAAGAGCCCACCACCCTCTGTGGCCATAATACTACACTTACAACTTCAGAGTGCCTGTCCAGTCCCTGTGTGAGCTGGCATATCTGGTTTTGCTTTCTGGTTCCAGCATGTTTCTTGCATGTTTTAGATCGTGAACATTGGTGATTTGATTGATTTAGTGATGAGTCGCTGCTGTAGAAACTAATGAAGGCTGGAGAGACATTTCAGCTTTCTGATTAACAGGTGTTAAAGAAACAAACGCAAAGCAAGGAGATAAGTTTTACTTTTACTAATGGACACCAGGGGTGCTAAAAGCAAGTCAAAACTGGTTAGCATCCTTTTAAAGTAGACAAATTATGGCTTTGTTTGTAAGGTATAATACATTTATGGTAGACCTATTTTTGATTTTTATGAAGTTCTTTGCACAAAATATCCCTCTTTCAGCAATTTTATTGTTGACAGTTTCAGTACCTTCCAGAACGCTTCACTTTAAAAAGAAAAAACAAGCTGTTACTGGCCATGCCCACTCCTCTCCTGTTCAGCTTCTATAAGCTGAGAAGCTCAGAGGGGCTCGGAGTAGAGCCGCTGCTCCTTAGCAGCAGCCCTCTTTTGCCCACGAAAAGTGGATTTATTCTAAGTTCCCTGTTTGTAGTGATGGGTAGATGTAGAGATGTTTGACACATCACCCAACCTGTATCAATACCGTGTCACCATGTTGGTCTTATGCACCTGCTGGATAATAAACATCACTGCAAACCTAATAGCGATACTCTACTGACATCAAGTCTCGGTGGGCTGTTCACCCAATGTGAGCTGGTCTGGTCTGGTCCGGTCCAGTCCGCACCCACCACCCCCCCCCCCCCCCCCCCCGCTCAGTTGGTCAGCCAAATTTCCACGTGTTTCTCTGTGATGTCTCAGCAGTGATGACATTCTGATGTATGCAAGTTTAGTTTAACAAATGTGATGTTTAACCTGCAGAAAATAGTATGAATGATTTTAAAAGAATAATTTAGAAACAAAAATCTGATGGATCAGGTGGAAACTGAGAGGAACAGGATGAAACAAAAAAATTAAAACAAAACATTTATTTGCAGATATATAAGAACCAAATGATCCCTTGTGGATCACCTTGCATTTTCTTTCCAGCTCCTTGATGCAACAGTGGTATAATTTTGCTTTAAAAGATGTACTTGTGGAAGAAACTGATCCTGTTGAGTCGACAGTTTAATTTAAACACAGTTTGACGATTCACCGACAAGCGAAACAGCCGCTGTGTTGGTCACATGACTACTTCCTAAACAATACGCACACCAACACAGATGTCCCTCTAATGAGCCAGATACAAGCGCCGGTGTGTCAGTGTTGCAGGACTCATCACTTCCTGTTTGTGATGTCACAGATGTTTTTTTTTTTAAACAGCTCATTTTAGTCTGACAGAAAGCAGATGGGTGGATTTTTGCACATTTGGAGTGTTTGTAGAGGTAGTTGAGAAGCAAAACATGAGTTTTGCATCATATGTCCCCTTTAGGTTAATTTAATTTAATTTGAGCTTTTCTAGGCACGACTGTCTCTGCAGACCACAAAGAAACGAATCAAGTCCAGAAAATTAAATTTTTGCACAACCTTGTTTTGTGTCTTCACTCAGATGTCAACGACAATGTTCCTTTCTTCCTGTCCTCCACCTACGAGGCCACGGTTCCTGAAGGAGCCCAGATTGGCACGTCGGTAGCTCTGGTGTCGGCGACAGACCTGGACTCTGGTCTGCATGGAATGGTAGGACGCAGCTGCTTTCAGCGTTGGTTCAGTGTGGGCTTGTTCTTCTCTACAGCTCATCTGTTTGTCCTCATCAGATCCACTATGTGATCCTGAAGGATGAGAGCGGGGACTCTCAGTACTTCAGCATCGACTCACGCAGCGGCGTCATCATCACACGTGCTTCTTTTGACCGGGAGCAGAAAGCCTCCTACTTGATCGAGGTGCAGTCGCAGGATGGCTCAGAGTCCGCCCGACCAGGCCAGCAAGGCCAGCTGAATACAGGTGTCACACTTACAAAGCACACAGTCTCTCTTTGACTACGTTTGTTTTTTATTAAATTACATCTACAGGCCGTGTCTTGTTGAGAGAAATGTTATTAGATCAACCCGGTGGGTCAAGAGATCATCTCTCATAAAAATAATAATAATAGTTGACTTTATGGGTGATAAATAGGAATTTGGCATAAAAAAACTATTGGTAACACTTTACAATAAGGGTCCCTTTAATGTTACTTAGTGCATTGAGTTAATTAAGGATATAAAAAAATAACTTGCGGCACATTTTCCACCCGTCTTCCCTCAGACACGGCGTACGTCAGGATCTTCGTCACTGACGTCAATGACAACGCGCCGGCGTTTGCTCAGCCGGTGTACGAAGTGAGCGTGGAGGAGGACAAGGAGGTCGGCTTCGTCCTCATCACGGTCACGGCCAACGATGAAGATGAAGGTCCGTCAAAGTTTTGTTGCTTTTACCTGAAATATCTTTTTGTGTCTACTTACTAATCACGGGTTTTCTACACATCTGATGCAACCGTCTGTTCGGAACAAAGCAGAGGATGAAACACGAGTCAGCAGGATGATGAAAATTATAACTCAGCCCTCTGTAATCACGCGAGGCTTATTACGTGGATTGTTTTTGTTCAACGTGCTGCTGTATAAAACCAGAATGTATGTGTTCACTCCTCTCTAAATCAGCTGGTGTGTTTTCTTTTTTTATTTCTTGCTGCTTTTTTCTCCTCTCTTCTCTCCTCACTTTTTGCCTCCTTGCCTTGTTCTCTCCACTCTTGCTTCGCCTCCTGCGCTCTTTTCCTCCCTCCTCTCTAACTGTCGCTGCTCGTTAGCGAGTGCTGCTGCTCCCTTGAGGTCGACAGTTTGATGTTTGTCTCTTTGTTTGTGTTTGTCCCTCAATCGTCTTCCTCCTCCGCTCTAAACCAATGAGCAGCAGGACGCAAAAGGGACAAAAATATCAGAAAACAAAAAAAATAACTCATTCTCCTCCTCTTGTTCCCCTTTTTTTTTTGCAACCATTGTTGGCATCAGTAGGAAGCAGCTGAGATTTTCTTAACCCAGACAACGGGACAAGGAAAGCAGGTTTTGAACATGTATTTGTTATTTCGTGCTTCTATTTATTCAGAAGATTGTCTCCAGGGGAGCGTCCCACTGCTCATCACTCGTCTCTTAGTGTGAAAGTTCTCCTAACTTCACCATAATTTTTCAGATTCCATATTTGATCAATATAGTGTGTATTTTTTAAATAGGCAGATATTCAAATAATAAAGTATCTGTTCAAAAAGCAGAGCTCTTTTAGCTTTTGTTTGGGTTTAAGCCATAAAATTCGATATTTTGGGTCAAAAATGTAACGTGCAATACGACAGCTGAATTTCATCATGACCAGAATTAAAATTAGCAGCTTTATTTTGGTTGGTTTTGTGCAACATTTGTCATTTCCAGTCATATTAGGTCAATAATGCTGCTTGGTGATGGTCACTGACCATTTTAATCTAGGAAATGGAAAATCTGTGGTTAGAGCTGTTGCCTTGCAGCAAGACAGTCCTGGGTTCGCTTCCCGGCCTGGGATCTTTCTGCATGGAGTTTGCATGTTCTCCCTGTGCATGCGTGAGTTTTCTCTGGGAACTCAGGCTTCCTCCCACAGTCCAAAAACATGACTGTTCAGTTGATTAGTCTGTCTAAATTGTCCTTAGTTGTGTGTGTGTGTGTGATTGTTTGTTCTGTGTGTCTCTGTGTTGCCCTGCGATGGACTGACACTCTGTCCAGGGTGTAGCCCGCCTGATTGCCCATTGACCACTGGAGACAGGCACGACCCCACATGGACAAGTGTTGCAAGTGGGTTCAGAAGATGGATGGATAACAGAAAGTTAATTTTTCCAAAACCTTTAGTCATAGTTGGATATTTTCATGCAAAAAAAGACCAAAAGCAGCTTCCCTTAGAGGACGTTTATCATAGCATATGCAGGGCCAAGAACATAATCCAGCCCGTTATCTATTCACCCTCTTTCCCTCAGTCAGAAAACAGAAAACATGGCTGAGAAACAGTTTCATGATTGTGAGGGCTGTGAAGTTTAAACAGAAAATTTGAATTAAAAGTCCCTTTCTCTGAAAAAATATGTTTTAAATCTTATTTCTGATTATAATCGGTCAATTTGACTTTCACAGGCAGGCTTAACGTGAAAAAAGTCTTCTACACCAATCTCCTGTTATAGAAGTCAGTGACATGATGCAACCTGCAGGGTTCCTTGTACAGGAAACTTTTTACTGATTGGCTTAAAGGGACTTTACGGAGTTTTGAATTTTTATGCTTGCAATTGCCCCCTCAGGCCAAAAGCGTAACGGCAGCTTCAATAGGAGGCTCGTGCACGAGGCGCGCATGCTGTACGTGCACACTCCTTAACGAAAATAACAGCTGAGACAGTCCTGTGTGTGTGTGTGTGTGTGTGTGTGTGTGTGTGTGTGTGTGTGTGTGTGTGTGTGTGTGTGTGTGTGTGTGTGTGTGTGTGTGTGTGTGTGCGTGCGTGTGCGTGTGTGTGTGTGTGTGCGTGTGTGTGTGTGGCCCGGAGGACAGAGGACAGGAGAACAAGCAGCTAATGAAATAATTTGGCTCTGTACCTTTCTCTTCAGCACAGCCGACAAAGGTTTAAGATGGGTCAGTCCTCCTGCATGCTCAGATTATTCCCTTCCCTTGCTTGAAAAATTGTTCCAAAATGAAAGTTGAACCCACATCTTTTTTACCTGTGAATTCAATGCCGTTCGGCGAGTCTCAAATAAAAATTTGGGCATCTTACTGTAAAAAAATCTCATTAATGTAAAAAAGAAAATCTAAAACAACTATGTTCACATCCAGAATCAAACCCGGGTCTTCTGCACGACAGCCTGACGTCTTACTAGGCGAGCTAAACCACCAATGACGTCATCTGTATCTGTAACAATTATATTCTTGATGACAGCTGAAACAATGTTAAACGAACGGTTCGGAGGGCTATGCCTGAGTGTGAATGCGCATGAAGCAGTCTGCTCGACCCTAGCAGCTCTTTTTCTGTAATTATACAGAAAAACAGGCAATCACAGTAAAAATGTCAGGGCTCATTCTGCAGGACCAGGGCATTGCAGGATAATGCATGAAGAAGAAATGTTTTATTTATATACATGTTTTGGCTGTCAAACTTCCATAATGCCCCTTTAATGAACTGACCTGTATTGGAATGTTTACTGTGTGAAATGCCTTGAGACGGCTCTTGTCGTGATTTGGCGCTGTATAAATGAACATGAATTGAATTGAATCCTGCAATAGTGAATCTCTAGGATGTAAAAATCCTGACAGATCTACGTCACACTGTCACTTAACATTCATGGACTCACACATCTTGACAGAAGACTATTGTTGGTTTAGCATCTAGGAAACAGCAGAGAAGGTCTCAGCTAGTAGAAGCTAGTAAAAGCTAACCGTTAGCATTAGCAACTCCACCACACAGCAGAACTCATTCAGGCTTGTGTTATTTGTAGAGATAAAACATCAGAGATAAAACATCAGTGTTGCAGAGCAAACAGTCAGTGAAGATTGCTGTTATCCAATCAGAGGCGAGATGTCCAAGTATCAGGAAACATGGCTGTCGTCTGAAGCTCAACTCGGATCTGGCTCACTTCTAGTTCCTGAAACCGGTGGACCAAAACCTTTTTCCACCAAGTACGACTTATAAGGCATTCATTCCGACTAGAGACAACTGCAAATGTATTAAAAATATGAGTAAAGTTTATATAAATTAGAAACAAAAGGACAAGTTGTGGTTTAATGGCAGCTAAATCATGTCTTTAATGATGCCTGTTGTGCAACAACAAAATGTCGATTTTCCTGCAGACAAAAAAGGCCCAGATGATTTTTGTGTCTGGAGGAGAATATTTAAATAAATCTGAAATTTACTGCATTTATGAAGTAAAAACAGGATTATCCTGCATTCATAATGATAGATTTTATAAATATGTATGTTACTTATCATGCCACCACCAGAGCAGCTGGGTGAAGCCTAAAACAATAAAGGGGGAAATAACACATTTCTGGAGAATAAGTGATAGATTTTCAAAAACATGTTTAATCCTAAACAGAAACTTCTTTCTTTATACTCACGGTGCTGACTCAGCAAGGATTAGATTTAAGGTTTAAATTAATCCCAATAACACCCCCACTTACCCTGCAAAAGTGGGGGTTAAATGGGCATTTGAGCTTATCTTTACCTAACTGGTGTGGAACTGGGGGTTGATTATTAATTACCAAAGAAAATCTCTGGTGAGACAAAAAAAAAGCAGATAACGATAAAACAGAAGCATTTGTGAAGAAATCAGCAGTATTTTGCTCCCGTGGCGTCTTTTAATCTAATGCCGAGCATTTTCCTGAAGGAAATCTGAAAGGATTAAAGAGAAAAATGAAAAAAATTGGACAAACACTGGGCTAATATGTATCCTTTGTAACTTTTTCAAATCTTTAAATCATTTTCTTGAGCCAGTATGTGCTAAAATGACCCTTTACAGGGTTAATGACATGTCATTCAGAGCCCCATTGGGGTCAGAATACCGCATTTGCAACTTTAGAGTTGCCAGTCTGTCCTGCTGGACTTGGGAAAAAAGTGGAGCAGAAATTCTTGGAGCTGCAGTCTGCTTCCAACACATTTACTGCATGTTTTAGTACATGAACACAGCAGATTTGTTTAATTTAGTGATGAATCTTCTGTAGAAAGGCTCGGAGGGGGTTGCTTTCAGTTCTACTAAACGGACACTAGGGGGTGCTAAAAGCTATTTTACATAGAAATCCTAGAATTTGAGCAAAGCAGATTTTCAGATATCATGAATATCAAATCGTTGGGGCATAATGGTGTTTGATCACATGACTTATGGTAGCAGGAAGTTTTTATTTTCATCACAAAACTAGCACTAAAGCGTAAAGCTCTGGCGTAAATGTTTGAATGAATGCAGATGTGTCTTTACATAAATTCTGACTGCCCCGTAACAACATCATTAATATGCATCATTCCACATGAGAAACAGACACTGTTCCAGCTACTTTAAGGGGTTTAAGCGGGGTGAAGCGCCTCGTGATTTTTATCTTGAGAGGCGCTATAGAAATGATATTTTCTTCTTCTTCTTTAAGTTAGTTAAGTTTTCTTGACAAGAATCTGAGAAAATTCTGCAGAACTGTTATTAGACAATGGAGGCCAAAGTTCTGGGTGTGTTACATCTAAAATATTGCTGCAGGTCGTCTTGTAAACAAGAAGTGGGGTTGAAACCACAGGGAGAAACCATGTGCATGTGTGAGTTCATCAAACGCAAGGCCGTCTTACCAATGAACCGGTTTGTATCTTGGCCAGAGGCATTCCCGTTTCCCATGTAGACTCCCTGATTCTGATGTGCATGCAGCACATGATGCTTTTGAGCCATACAAGT